TTTTCCAAGTTTCTGTGCAGTTTCTGTATGAAAAGATATTCTTGTTGACTGGATGTCCCAAGGTCATAAACATCTACTTTCTGTAATTACATAGCTCAAGACTATACACACTACAATCTCTTGTGTCTCTAGCTAAAGTGTATGTGTTTCTATGAGAACTTCTTGGAAGGTAGCTTATTTAAACTGACAGTGCAGAAAAATGTACAACTGGCTTGAAGTATGTAACCTGTGGAATACCTGACTTTATTTGTTTTACTAGGATACTTAATTTGGGTATTTCCATAGCTCTCTCTCTTGATTTTGGCTTCTAATCTCTTGTTATTGATTTATTTTGGCCTCTTGTAGCTGTCTTTCAACATCAAGAGCCAAATGAAACAGAAGAAGCTCAGCCAGTTTTGGTAATAGAACACCATTTGTTTATAAAAAAAAATTATTTAACACTGAACTTGTGTTTGCTGTTTTCCTATAATGTTCATGTTCAGTTTATTGTTACTTAAAAGTCCTGAACCTGCATTTTGCAGAAATCTTTGGCTTACTGTACTTGAATACCACAGACTAGTTAAAAATTTAACATTCTGGAGCCATGACCAGGATTTGTTATTGCAGAGCTTAATTTGAACATGTTTCTTTTTCTGTTGGCTCTCTAGTTAAAGCAAAATTTGTAAATACTATCATGAAAGGTAACTTTCTGTGGCACTTATGGCAGAGATGAATAAATTATGGTGGTGGTGAGAATGTAGTCCAAAAATATAGCAAGGTCTATGACAGGCAGTCTTCTGGACTCAAAACTTTCACCAGCCATGATAGGAGAAATGTTGGCATTCCTTTTTCATCATAGGGACCAAGAGTTGAAAGGTGCCTTGCTGGGCAATTGCAGGCACCACTAAAACAACTTTTAATGGTAATATCCTGTATGCAGGAGCATAGGGATATGGTGACAGCGAGTGGCCTCCACATGCAAAAACTCAATGGGATGGTCTTTATGGGACTTCAAGGAGCATATGGATAACCCATGGCATTGCAGGATACTGTGTGGTGTCATCAGGAACCAAGAAGAGTGGTGAGACTCATGCACTGAATAAATTTGGGTACAATTAACTACAGTACCATCAGCCAGAGCAGGTATTATTTTGTTGCTACTCAGTGTGATTAGGAGTTATTCAGAAGTCTTCAAGGCTAACAAGTCACAATGAAGACAACAGTGGTGCATATTATTATATGTTGAGTAATACCATTGAGGACTAAACCCAAAGATGCCACAAAAATCAGGATTCACATGTCTTATGACTTCCTAGAAGATGAGAATCTCCCAGTAACAACTAAGCCAGTTTTGGCGGAGATGCTAGGAGTTAGAACTTGTGAGCACCAAGTCCAGGTAAAGCAAACAAATCCATCATTGTTCAAGATAACAGCAAAGGAAGACCTGGACTTCAAGCAAGTTGTAGCTTAAAATTGATGGACTCAGGGTTAGGTGGTCCAACACCTGGTGCTTAGTGTAGATAATCCACTGTCCTAGAGCACTTGGACAAGATCTGAATCATTTACTTGGAAACAATTATTAACAAATTGTGCCTAGTGGATAGCTGAGCAGCCTATAAGGCAGAGTTTAAAGCTTTTGTTTTCAAAACATGAAATGTCACAGCAGTAAATACATTTTACACTGTTATTGAAGTGTACATGTGCTAGAAATGTTCAGTTTCCATCCCAGTTACAAGTATATTACTTAATTAACTCAGTAACTTTGGTCTTTAATTGAAGGTAGTGTTAGAAATGAATAAATATTTTGTCATTTGTAATTATACAAGTACACCAAAGCAATTCTACATACATTTAATTCATGGGGTAGACTATACAGTTAAAAACTGTTTATTGTTTTAACAGACTTTCCAAAACTTTTCCAACTACTAATGTAAAACTAACAGGCCTATAATTACTGGGACAGTTTTTATCACCTCCCTTGAAAAGGAGTTACATTAACTTCCAATCTTTTAACACCTGCCCACTATTCAAGGACTTACAAAAAATAGTAGCAAGTACTTCACATATCCAATCCTTAACCTCCTTCAAAACCCTTGAGAAAATATTATCTTGCTCAGGAGCTTTATGATTTTGTAAACTTCCCAATTTTTTCTTAACAAGCTCAGAGTTAATGTAATCATATTGCCCAAACTTGTTTCCATCTATCAACTATTCATGATGAGAAATACTGCTTAAATCTTCATTAGTAAAAACTGAAGAAAAAACCGAACTTTATAACCCAGCCATCTCATAACCATCAGATACAAGCCTTCCTTTATCGTTCCTCAACGGTCCTACCCTAACCCTAACATTTTGTTTACCCTTAATGTATTTAAATGTTAATTTTTACATTTTCAGCAAACCTTTTCTCAAACATCCTTTTCGATGTCCAATTTCCTGTTTCGCCAACTTTCTTAATTTTCTATAATCTTCTAAATTTCTTAAATTTATGATGCTTTTCTTTAATTTTCTCTCTTAAATTCTTTGTGAGGCAACCTGGTTTTTTACTTGCAGCTACCCTTTTCTTTCTATAAGGAATATGTTTACTTTGGATACATAAAAATTTAACTTTAAAAATTTTCCACATCTGATCAGTGTCTCCACATAACTCAGCTGCCCAATTCACAACAGATAATTCTTGTCACATCCCTTCAAAATTTGCTTTTTTGAAACTTGTAATTAAAATATTGTAATTCCATATTTCTATATGCTGTAAAACATCAAACCTAATAGAGCAATGATCACTTGCACCCAGATGTTCCCCAATTTCCACCCTCTCGATATTTCTATATTTGAAGTAAACAATAAATCTAAAATAGCAATGTTTCTAATAGGTTCCTTGACTAATTGTCCAACTTAAAAAAAAACTTTTTGATAAACTGAAAAGAGGTATCTGCACCCAACACATTGATTTTGTACAATATACTAAAAGCTCATAGTTTTTATTAAATATTTTGGTGATCAATGTGAAGTAGTTGTATCACACTGTAAATTTTGATTTGTCAGATATACACAACAAAAAATGTTGTCTCTTGAGGAATGTAAATGTTGGCACTCGAGAAGGACTGTATTTATTCTCCATCATGCTATTTTGGTCTCTGTAATGTAACTTCCACTTTTAAGGTGCTAATGGAGCTTACACTTGAAGGTTGTTGTGGTTGATTTTTCTTATTTTCATCTTTACTTAATGACTATCACGTAAGTAGTAAACTTACCTGCAACTATTATTTTCTGTCTATTTTTTTCCTATTTCTTTGTTGTGAGGGTGGCATCACAATATGGAACTCCTCCTTCCCGCTTTTTTTGGATATACATTCTTGGCTAGATGAACTTTCCAGTGATATTGATATGGTTCTCCAAAGTTTTGGATGGGCTAATTATCAATATGATCTTTAAATGGCCAATATTTTACTCTTTGTTACAAAAGCATTTGTGTCTGTTTTGAGTACAAACACTTGAATGACTATAATCTCAATGGTCATTGTTTTATTTCACCCCTATAACAAATTTATCAAATTCTGTTATATCAAACCAGCAAAATGTAAAAAAAAAACTAAATCAATAGGAGGTTAAAGGGTATGATCATACTGGCATAATCTGTGGTTAAAAATCAGAATTATTCTACTCAAATAGAAATGGATAACATCTCTAATACAGCAGTAACTTAACGTGTTAAGTCAATACAGTACCTTTTATCAATTAAAATAGCTCTATCACAACACTTACAATTCAAGCTCTGTTAATGATAAACAATCCTGAGTAATCCAGATTTCTTAGAGTATTTAATTTTCAGTTCTAGTTCACCTTTAATATTTACATACAGTCAAACAAATAGGGCAGAATAATGGCTGGAGACGGCTTAACTAGGCTTAATAGGGCAGAACTAGATTGAAATAAGTAAATGAAAAATTATCTCACTAACGTTTTAGTTCACTCAGGTGAAGATGGCCTGAACTGTTTTATATATACATGTAACCTATATAAAAGCCAGTGTGTGTCACATCATGCTTGATTTCTCAAAATAGGAGGAGTCATAAAAGCCAAAATGTATTTATCCAAATAGAACAGTTCAATTACCATCTTTCCATTATGATTTTAGTGACAGGAATGCAAGGGGGCCGTGAGGGAGGCTTGAAAACTTAATAAATGTAGCGAGTGTTGGTATAATAAGCCAAAAGTAAAGATGTAATGTGGGATCACCTAGGCTTAAATCATTTCTGAATTAAGCTATTTTCTGTTATATCACCAACATTTTTAATAAAAAACAAACCTCTAAATTAAGAAATTGACAAATACTTTTCCACTTTTGTTGTCTATCCATTTCATTTTATACTTTCAGTACATAGACTAATAACAATATTAAGTTAAAACTTTACTGAGCAACATGACACAAAAGCCATTGTTGAAACTAGTGTTACCAAAACACACTGGCTTTTTTATATATTAGAAGTTGTTAATCTAACTGAATTTTAGTAATTATTATTCCATGAATATGCCATGAATTCATTTCATGAATGATCTTAATTTTGATTGACTCACAAAGGAGTTTACTGATGTTTGACTGCCTCAACTGCACTTTTCTGGCTCTTTGTTGGTCAAGCTCGATTTTGCAAAATTTATTTATTTCAGTTAGCTATGAAATGTGAGGTTAGGGTATACTATAGGATGGGGGTGGTAGTACTTTCCCCATCATATTTGACAGGCTATATGCTAGTGTATATATATATTCATTACAAAATGTCTAATGTGTTGCAGGAAAGAGGTATTGGACATAAACTGGAATTACACTTCATGTTTTGAATTCAGATATACAGTTTATGTTAAGGCTAGAATTTGATTGAAGAATATGTTGAAGAATAATACAGAAAAAAAATATACTTATACAATTAGCATAATATATTTCTCTGAAGGATATTTTTTCTCTTTCTGTTGAAAACTAAGTAATAGTATGGAAGAATCCTGTAATACATTACTAACAAATCTTTACACTTGTACTACAACATTTATTAGAAATTTTCAAACAAATTAAAACTTTTTAGACCACTAATGTTACATTCTTGTATGGTTAATCAAGCCACTGGTAAAAGCACCAATTGAGAGAGATATCTGATACAACCTAAGATGAATGTAGTCAAGACTAAAAATACTTAAGATTCTAAATATATAGAAACATTTCACATTTTTTAATGAGAGATTAAAAATTTATATGGTCTTGGAAATGTATTTGTCTTCTGTTGCAATTTCAGAGTACTTACAAATGGTCACTCGTACTAATTTGAATGCAGTGACCTTAATAACTTACTTTACGATTCTGTCACAAATCTTCATTCATTTAGCTAAATGAAATAATACTTTTATGTTACATGAACTGGTCCAAGGTGTTTTTCTGGTTTGCCTGTTCCTTAGAAGATGGTTTTCTTCGTATTAAAGGTTTAGATTTAATAAACATATTCCTTGATCTGCATACAAAAGTAGAATGCCCTCCTAATCCATTGTAGCCTTTCCTCAAAACTGACTCTTCATCAGGCTGTATTGATCTTAAAGGTTTGAAGATATTTTCAGTTACACGAGGCTGATGGACACTAATTACAGGTGTGCATGATTGATTAACAGAAGAAACATGCATCTTAAGCTTCTTCACAGATGTTCTCTACAAATAAAGCAAAATTTCTAAGCATTACAACAGTCGATTTAAAAAACTCATATGAACTTATTTTTTCATTTCTTTTTATCAATTCTTTTACGTTAATGTCAGAATATTCATTAAACGTGCATTGGTAAACCATTTTAACAATTCTTACTCATCATCATCCACTGCTGAGAACTGGAAACCTTTGTGGTTGGATTTGATTTTGTTGTTTACATACTTTTTTAAAACATCAGATTTTTTTTCTTCAAAAGTGTAGTGTGTGTACTGGGCTTCCCATCGATTTATCTACAGATGTCACCATGATGAATACAAGACTCGATAGCTTTGATCATTTGGACTTTGCAGTCCAATGATAGAGCACGCATCTTAGTAAATACACATGTTGTTGACATCTTGAGGATAATGCATAAAGTGCTGTTTCATTAACAAAACTGTTCCAATTTATCTAAAATCATAGTGCCACTACTATTTCACAATTTATTTATGAATTTGTGGGAGTAATTTTGCAATAACTAATCATGCTAAACCTACAAAACATTTGCTGTTAAAACAATCACTTCCTAATGGAGAATTTCCATTTGGCTCGTCGTATTAATGGTTTAAATGCTTACGTCTCATGCCAATGCAAAGCAATTAATCTATGTAGTTGGTCCTTTTATGATTTCCCAACTTTATTTACAATGGTGTTAATGGCGTTTCAAAGAGACTTCGTAGTATTGTTCATTTTAAGCAGTTTTGTTATAACTGAGTTCATATTAATGAGGTTTGACTGTACTATATTTCTTGTTTTTCACGTGTATTCTTTATTTATTATAATAAAATTAACTAAACTGTAAAAATTAGAAACTTATTAGGTTACATAAGGTTAGGTAAAATAAAGAAAAATAATAATAAACATTTTTCACAAGGTATGCTTGCGAGTAGCCTGTGTGTTACATAATTTGATAAAGTGACATCACCTTACATGAATGATTTGCAAAGGACAATAAAACAATAAAATTTAAGTTTGTTTGGAATTAAGCACAAAGCTAAACAATGGACTATCTGTTCTCTGCCCACCACGGGTATTGAAACATGGTTTCTAGCGTTGTAAGTCCGCAGACATACTGCTGTGCCACTGGGGGGCAAAAAATTAAGTAGAAACAAATGTAATTTCCTGTTACAATTTGAAGTCAATATAGAAAGGAAAAAAAGGTTAATTTAGATATATTTTGTATTCCTCTCAAATTGACCAACCCTATTTAGAGTTAGGGTAGAGAAAATAACAGATAAAATATCCCATAATGAGAAAGATAAAGGGCTTTGTTTTCATATTTTCTGTCTGCTTCTGATTCTTAAAGGGTATAATAGATATTTTAATTTGTTTAAAAGGTTTTTATTCTACAGTGTTACTTCAAACATTTTTCTCAAGTAAGTCACCCCCCCCTCTGACTTCCAGAAAGTGGACCATCTTAGTAATGAAGTAGGTATCAGCTTCACGAGTCATAAAAGCATAACATGATCAAGTAACTTTTATTTGAAGAAACAGTGAATTAAATCATTGTAGTGTGTTTCATTTGTGTATGTACTGAAAACATCTATGTATTCATTGACAAAACTTACATTGCAATTGTCTTCTTTGCACCTGTTTCCTTTGTTTATTTCTATTTTTGCATCATTTTGGTGGAATAATGTAGTAATTATTTTGAAAATTAACTGCTTCTTGAACATCTTTGTACCTTTTGTTTTTTCTGCCATTTTCAATCATTGATATCTCATAATATCAAGGGAACCTCCCACAAAACCAAATGATGGATTAACTGTACATTTATTAATTCATCTGATTTCACTTATTATTTTTGTTGGTAAAGCGGTTTTTATTGTAATGCAAGAGTTGTTGGGCAAGTGGTTTTACTAGGTCAAAGTCAGTTATACCACTTCTTGAGTGACATGAGGTTAAAGTTCATTTTTTTTAATCTTTATATAGTTTCAGATTTAGGGGTGGCCTGACTGATTGAGAGGTAAAGGGGGAGGATGCATGGTACGATGTGTTTTCTACCCACTTAGTCAAGATGTAAATTAAAGGTGTCATATATAAAGAACAAAACTATTCCTACTTACAGTTAGATGATTTGGGGAAAACTTCTCAGTAGAAAAGTCAATGTTTTCTGGATTTGTCAATCGTGGTCTTTTAACACTTGCACTTTCAGGACTAAAAGTTGTTGAAAAGAAATTTTTTTATTGTATTAGTTATTTTTAGCAAACACATTACAGATTAATAAAAGAAACTAAACAGTAATCAAGCAACTATATGGTTCATTCCTGCCTAACTTAATATTAACTAGCCATTGTGATAGCTACATTTGTTTACGACTAGTTTAGAAAAAACATTGTATGATATATGCAACTGTTTCTTTTTAAGTATAGCACGAGTGTTAAATTTAGTTACTTTTAGAAATGATAGATTATCGCAAGTTTGTTTACGTAATTGTACACCAATCATATGTTGTGTTATTCAATTATTGTGAATTGGTGCTTGTTTTATTATTGCATCATGGTACTAGAACCTTCTATGTTTTTCTCGTTTTTTCCAATTGAGTATTATTGTATCATATTATCACATAGTGTAGAATGTTCTAGGCCTCTGTCAGTTTATAAATAGGCATACAAAATGTAGTTCAAGTTAGATAGGTCTAAACAGTGTGATTGTGAGCTTAGCCGAAAATAGCATATAGTGGTGATTTTTTAAAGTGAAATTATTACAAACTGTATTGTAACAGCAGAGAAGATAAGAATAATTCATCTTGTCAGTTGTGTTCTAAAGTAACTGAACCAGCCTGTTATTACAAATTGTACTGTAAGAGAAGAGAAGAATAATTCATCTTGTCAGTTGTGTTCTAAAGTAACTGAACCAGCCTGTGTGAACTTTGATGAAAAAAGATACATTTATTTAAAGCTCTGGATACAACTGTAATAATCAACAGTGTAACAAACATTTGTATATATGTTTGACTTGTTTTAATATATTACTTTAAAACAAGCGGACTATGTGCTGTTTGTTTATTGTTGAAATTTATTGCCAACATATCACAGACACTTACTGTAAAGAATCCAGCTCTCACATATAGAAGAACCTGGCAAACATATTGTACAAGAATGCTTTATACATATATTTTATATATACACAACAAAAAAAGAAAAAAAGAAAAAAGCTTTTCAACTTCATGAAAGCATAACCAGTAAAATCTCAAATATCAAGTTTTATTCAAATCATGCCATAAACTACATCTCGATAATAAACTTATAAATAAATTGCACTCGTGAGACTTTGTACTGCATCCCTCTTATATTGCATGACATACATTTATTATCTGAGCTAAGAATTAGAGAAAAGAAGCCAAAAAATTAGAAATGATTGAAAATATGTATTTCTTAATACAAGTTCTCCATCATATTATATATTTATACAATACAGCAATAGGTTATAAAAGCCACACCAAAGATAAAACTACTCAAACATTATTATAAAAATCAAGTAGGTTATAAGTTGTAAACTTCAGATGTGAAAAAAATACTCTTTCATATTTTTTTGAAGTGTGGAAAAAAAGGAAAACTTAATATGAACTCTGACTACTTGAGGTTGACTATATGGCATCTTCATATCAATTATACCACATAAGAAACCCATAAATTAAAAAATATTATAAAGAGATCTTATTTAATTAGCAACACCAACACAATTTTTCTTTAAAACAAGTGGCCAACTTCTTACCTATGGTAAAATATGAAAACTGGATTCAGCTGAATTAAGTTGTAAACTTCTCAACATATTTACTTACTGATGCAAGAGTTATATGCACTTAACAATGTAGCAGCAACATAAATTTAAATTTAATGTTTTAGTACACAATTTTCAAACAACAGGGAAATGGTTGTAAATGCAGTGTTAGTTCATCAAAACTCCATGATATGTAAACTACCCTTCATTAGCTGTCAATGTAAACAGCATTACATGTAGTTTTAAAATTTTTAGTACTGAAAAACAAATAAAATTGAAAATTACTTACTACCAAGAAAAAGCCTTTGTTTGATGCCATGCTTCAGAAAGTAATCTGGATTAGTTGTCAAAGTACAAATAAACAACAGCAAATTAACCAGCTCCTATGAAAGTTGTGTATTTTTTTCTAACTAAAAATTAATATTTTTCTGCATAAGTATAAATATCTACAAAACTTAAAATTAAACTTAATCCTATGTGCACATATAGGGGTCCAAATACACATGCTACAACCTTTTACAGAGTTCAGTTCAACATGGTATTATGTATTTGATACCAGAGTTACCAATTGTTCATTTTACCCTACACTGCTGGTTTAGCAAAAGTTCATGGTAAAGGAGAGTAAATACCAGATATAATATATATAGAAATACTGAAAAAACTGAAGATATGCATTTAGGAAGTTCTAGAGGTTACGAAAATGCAATATGCAAACCGAAAGAGGGAGGAAATTATTTTTATTCTTCACGTAGACATCACCTTGCACTGTGACTTGTCAAATTCTGAGCCAGACTGATGCCATTAATTCATAAACATAATTTGAGTATAAATACCTTTGTAACACATCTGATTTGTTGCATACAACAGACTTGCCAATTATGGTAAACATTTGCCACATTGTGTGTACATACACATAAATTGAGAATTATAGTCAACATTCCTTCTCCAATACAGGGTCAGTCCAATGGACCAACTCTGTGCACATTCAGTTAATAATGTCTACAGTGTCAAAATTATTATCATCAGACTGTTTCCTTCCAAACCAGATTTTCCCTTACATACATATGCAACAATATTACTTTATTAGTTATGGTTTGAATGCTAAAATCTGGAGAAGAGCACATTAATAGTAACTTTTAAAAGTATTATACTACATATTGTGTTAGAGAATCTTTTGTCTTTTATTGTCCAGCCCAACTGATGACTTCCAATATTTAACTAAAAGACCTCTTGTGCAATGGTATGTAGGAGACAAAAGATAGACCTGAAATGCCATTTCACAAATTTTAGGCCTATTGGTTTCTAATGCTTCACCCGCAGTTGGCATTTAAATCATAACATTTGAAGTATTATACTACATATATAAATAGAATTTCAAAGAATCTTTTGCCTTTTATTGTCCAGCCTAACTGACTAGTTGTTGTATTAAACAAAAGACCTTTTGGGTAGTGACTTGTTAAGACAAAAGAAAGACCTGAAAGGCTATTTTTACATCCATATGATTTTGAATCTGAAATAGACAAATTAAGATAAATGTGGAAAAAAACAACACAGTTAATGTAATTTTTATCACAAATTTTAAAAATATTATGTTAATCTTTAAAATATCAATGCATAACAGATTGTCACATTAATACCAACCCCCAATACATATATATGTATGAGTAGAATGAAAGGTAAAAATGTAACATAACAGTGTTCAATCCTTCCGTATATTTCAAATCTATACTCACAATATCTTCATAAAGAAGATACAAAATTATTATCTTAAAAAGGTAAATAAAACTTTCTTTTAAACATATTAAGACTCAAAGTTAACATTTTCCTAACCTGAAAATGTATTTCAGATAGATACCTCTTCACAGAACAAGCAGCTACTTATTTTACATGCTCCAAGCCTTTGAATGAGTTCTAACCCTTACATGTAATAACATTAACTGCACTAATGTATGATGCAAACAGCATTAGACTGTACTCCTCCAGAATAGAAGGATGACACATCCTCCTCGAGTAGTATTTCACTAGAGCATTTTGGTAAACCAAAAGCTAATTCTGAATGAGGCAAATAGGCATACCAGATGTGGTTGGTTCTGTGGAGATATTTATATGAAATATATTTTCAAGTATGTAAAATGTAAACTTCATACTACAAAGCAAATATTTAGAATCCAACATTAAGAGGATGGTGAAAAAACTATTATGAAGAAAAAAATTAAAAAGATGAGCTCCCTTCAGAGAGTATAGCAAAATAAAGGGAAAACTAACAGATTGTCTCTAGGGGTGGACCTAAGGAGAGCATAACCTGGTGAGATTATGTTCAAATAAGGAATACTCTTTGCACAATAATAAAGGTTGGTTAAAAAGAACTTCCTAATTTTTTTTTGTACTAAAGTGTTTCAAAGGTAGGCAGAATGTGAATATTACTCATCTGACAGACCATAAAAATAAATTGTAGTAGGGCAATATGTCAAGCCATATGAAATGTGAGAAATACTTAAAATAACATGAATCATCACAGACCTGCCTCCCGAGGAGAGCTCCAGGCCCGTTTAGCTGATCACAAACACTAGGAATACTCTAGTTCTTAGAGTGTTACAAATGCATTGCACTACTCTTCCAGGTTGACACCTCTGCCCTACTTCTAATCAAGGGGTGCATTCTCTCTTTTCATACCTGTGAGATTACACCACAAAAGGAAATTCTCCACATCAACTCTCTAGTGGCTTGCTACTGGGGAAGAAATTGGGAGAGAGAAATTCATGTAGGGAAGAACACCAGAGAAGTGCATGGACCAAACAGGAATAATCTCATCTGCATAAGATCCTCACTGATAGACTGTGCAGTGTGTTGCCAGGAATAGGGACAGTAGGAGCTTTGTTGGAGTGGTTGTTTAGCCACTCCATTTTTTTTGCTTTTATCAGTACAGTAAAGTGTGGAGGGTAAATATACAGGCACTGCCAAAGATGTCTTGCAGAAAACCACATCTCTACAGTGGGTATGAAGCAGGGGCAGATAAACTGAACACACTGTTATCTCCTACTCAATGCCATTTTCAAGATAAAGAAGTATCCCCATGAGGCAACACAGGCCACTCTGTGGGTTCCCATGCTTCCTTTTTTTTATATATTCTGTTTTGAGTGATTTTGTTACTGTTTCAGTTGGTGTTGTTATATGAGTAACTCACTTCCTTAGAACTTCTTGGAAAATGGGAGAATGGCAATTGGAGAGATGAAAACCCTTTGGCTGATGAAAACATGATGCAGTACAAGTTATGTGACACAAAGATGTCTGAGGTCATCCACAAACTCATCTGCAAGAGTTCATCCATGGGATTTCAACAGAAGTCATAAGATGATGAACTTGATAAAAGGTTACATGAAAATACAAAACGTGTTATTTCCCAAGGAGGAATAGACAAACCGGATGAATTGTTT